GAACAGGTGGAGTAAATACATACCGTACATCCGGATCCAGTGTATAGCTAACCTTGTCGTGATCATTAGAATGCTCCTCCTGAGAGAAGGAGTGAAAGAGCTGCATGTCGCTGCCACGGTGCACTGAGACAAGATGACGAGGCTGAGACGAAGATCGAGTCATGTACATCTCGGTGAACTCTTTGCCGAGGATGATCGATGACAAGTGTTTAGAAGCGAAATGGAGCCTGACTATGGATCTCGGCGGCAGTTTCATGAGAATCATTACTTTGAGTTCCATAGGAATCATGATAAACGGATCGTTTATATCATTCCTTTCGTCTCGTTTCTTAGACCTCTTGATCCTTTTCATGGCTACTTTCAATTAGTCCGCCTCACTGTTTCATTCTCTTAACCCTAAGATTTTTATTTCTCTAACCTAAATATAAGCGATACGAATTCCTTAATGTGTAACGTGTTAATATTTTATAAATTTTCAAATAAAACCTCCTATTTTGAAGTTTAAGAGGAAAGTACTCTTTTGGTGAATTCTCACAAGTCACTAGACCAATTATATTATGCCACGTAATAAATCTAGAATTCTTTTTGAAACAATTCAATAAAACAAGATAATGCTTACAAACATGATCTTTCAACAGTTACTCGAAATTACACACGATCTTTTTTTACCTATGATTTTTTCACTATCTTATATCGCTTCAAACTCCTCTCAGATTCGTTAAAAGAATATCAGATAAATATCTGAACGATCAAAAAAGAATATGAAACACTTACTCCTTCTTCGATTTCTGAATCCTAATTTATAATTGAGTTTATATTGAATCTCAACAACTCATATTTTCCAGTCACATATCTCTCTCCTTTGTTATGTTTCGTTGACTATGGCTGAGCACGAATTTGATACAGTTTAGAAGTACGATTGGTGTCTAGGCTTTGAGGGCTTTGTGGTTGTGTAAAGCCACTAAAGTCAAATATTTGCTAATCACTTTTTTTACGCTATAAAAATTTATAAAGTCCTAAAAGCCCACTTAAAAAGAACTATTTTTTATTTATATTTTTCTACCGCCACTTTTTGAGACTTTATAATCACTTCTTTTTCTATGATAAAAAATGATTTGTATTTTTTTTTTTACTTTTTGCTCATTTCTTACTACAATAAAAGAGATAATAAGTATAATGATTAATAAAATTATTTTATTAGTTAGTTTAAGTTTTACCACAAAAAAAAAGTCATACCTTACTATTAATAGACTATTAATTTGTTGAAGACTAAAAAATATAAATAATCGAAAACATTTAGGATAGATTCAAAAAGTATAATAATTGAAAGAAAAAAAAATCAATGATTTATAGATTCATTTTCATTAGTTAGTTTATATTTTACCATCGAGAAAAAATCATACCTTACTATTAATAGACTATTAATTTGCTAAAGACTAAAAAATTTAGTATAAATAATTGAAAACATTTACGAAAGATTCAAAAAGTATAATAATTGAAAGAAAAAATAATTACAATGATTTATAAATTCATTTTCAATAGTTAAATTACATACATTATAGAATTATATACAACTTTACCCACCACGATTATATTTATGATCATACATTTTACTATAAATACAATGATTTTCATTACGTCGTGGATTTCTTTGTCCATATATGGGAGAGCGGTATCACCTAAATCGGTTCCATAATCAAATAGAAGAAAGAAATTATAGAGAAGTCTTTAATCGTCACCATTCATCACTTCGATCAGTGATTGAAAGAACTTTTGGAGTATGGAAAAAAAGTGGCGTATTGTGAAAGATGAAGCAAGTTATAGCATATATACAATGCGTCAAATTGTGGTGGCAACCATGGTTCTCCATAACTTCATTCGCAAGTCAAATCTTATGAATCCTGACTTCCAATCAGAAGAAAATGAAAACGAACAAACGACAAATGAAGAAGAAGTTCCAAATACGATGGACCAAGATCTCAGTTCAAGACAATACATGGAAGGTGTTCGAGATGAGATTGCAAACAACATATGGGCTGTAACCCGTTAATTTTTAATAATCTTTTTGTTTTATTTAATAAATTGTAATTTTATTTTAAATTCTATTTTTAATAATTTTTATTTATTTAATATATTATTATCTTATTTTAAATTTAATAAATAATTTTGTTGATTACAATTTCAAATTTTTACAATAAAGAAATAAAATATATTGTTGATAAATTTGATTGATTTTCTGTTTTTAAACTACCCAATATATTTTATAAACGTGTATAAATAAAAAATGGGTAATACATTTTGAAAAATGAATTATAAACATATATTTATAACAATCACAGCTTCTAAAGCTTTGAATACCAATCATGCTCTTAACTTTCTCTAAAATAACAGTTACAGCATTTAAAACCAAAATCTCTACAGCCACAATTTCTAAAGTCAAAATCTAAAGCGAAAGTCATTACCAATCGGATCCTAGATCTAGGAAATTTTTGAGAAAGAGTGGTCATGGTGCATCTGAATAGTTGAAGATTTATAAACAAAGAGACCCAAAAGTCACCAAAAATGCAGATACAAACGTGGTGATTTGCCTTTCGATTAAAGGTAAATGTTTTTCTTCTTTATATTAAATACTAGGGTAAGCCCGCCCTACGGGCGGGTAGGCAACTAAAAATTAATTAAAATATATATGTGTAAGAATATTCAATTTATTCAAAAACAAACTAATGTTAATATAAAATATTTATTTATGTTCTTTAATTAGAAATCAAATACCTGATAAATTATTTTTAAAAAAATTCATGAATGTAATTATTTTACATTTTTTATGTTTGCCACCCCTTTATTTAAAATTAAATAAATTACTTTTAATTACTGTTGAAATTCAGCATATAAATCATGAATTATTTTCATTCTTATATATATTAATCCGTTGGTACTTTTCTTTTATATGTTTTTAACCCTGTTCATGATTAAGATAATGTGAAACTAATCGATTTAAAATTTGTTTCTAATTTAGTTAGATAATATAACAATTGAAAATTTATTATTTAAGAATGTACACTTTTTATTATTACTTTAATCAAATTAACCATATCATCCAAGCTGATTAAGATTATTAAACGAATTTTTTTTTTAATTTTAAGAGTAGAATTGATTGTTTCATTTTTATTTGATTACCTTTTGAATATAATTTTTGCACATTCGTTTTATATATAAGGTTACTTTATTATTTCCTTATTAATTACCGTAATGTTTTAATAGTAAACTTTTTTTATTAAACGCTGTTGTTGTTTTAGGTTCATAATATCATATTTCAACACATATTTTGTGTAATACATATTTGGAATAATTAATACTGATTCACTGAATATCTATGTCAAACAGAATTTTGTAAAAGTATTAGTATATGAAATTAATTATCTATTATAGTCTATTAGTATAATATATACAAAATTATAAAAGTAGATTCAAACCAATAATTATTTTAAAATCATAATATGCATATTTTGATGCTAAAAATATAATGTATCTTTACGTTAATGGAATTTAAATCAATATATTTTTTGGTTAAGTTCATTAAAGAACTTTTGTAAGCATATAAACTTTTTTTGTAGTAGAACTTGGTTAAACTGCTCGGTTAACCAATTGGTTTAGAGGGATATAAAGAATCGTAAAATTTACGGTACCAATTCTCCATCCATGTTGTTTGTATTTATCCTCTCATTATCCTCTGCTGTTACCTTTTTTTTGTTGGTAAAACCTCTGTTGTTACTTCTCGGAGAGAGCCACGTAAAAAAGTAACTGTTGCATAATCATCTTTTCTTCTGCTTAATTGTAATTCTCGAAAGAGTATAATACTGATTGATATATGGGATACTGTAAGCTTACCATTGCGAAAGAAAGGCGTAGACAACTCTCAGGTTGTGATCCAGACCAGAAAGAGTTAGGGTTATTTTACTAATCAGTTTCTCTCCTTCGTCGACAAATTCTATTACGCGAGTAATTAATTGCATGTGGCAAGTCTCACATTTCATACGGTGCATTCCATAACCAATCCTTTTTTTTTTTTAATTTCTGGTCTGGAGCAATTTTCTCTCGCTCGGTTTGGTATTATCGTTGCATTTACGTTTGAATACCGGAGAATATCGATGAAAACAGAACTCAAAATGATATTGAATCTTCTTTTTTCGGTTTAATAAATCCGAAAGGAAACCTCTAATTACATCCATCTAGAATTATATTACAGCTTCTTTATTACCTGAGAAAAAATAAGAAACAGAGAGCATCCTTATGTAATTGAGATTTGCCTCCATGTTCCACACTCATCTCCTGTTTGTCCTAAATGCTCTGCCCATGGTGACATTCTGTATCCATACACCTGTGGATAGATAGAGAGACATCAAAACACCTCAGTTAATGTTATTATTCTTCCAAGCAGATTCGAGTTTATATACTTCTGTTACTTATAAGCACCAGAAACACAACTTCTCTAGCATATCTCAACCTAATTTTTGAGGTTTTGTTACGGCATAAATGATGATGATAGGAAGGCAAACCTGGGCACGTGGGTGTCTTCCCTTGAAAACGCAGTCAAAAAGATCATAAGCAATCTGTTCCACTGATTACTACTGAAAAATGTATATATGATTCCTCTTCTCTATGTTATGAATTGCACTGCATTTGTGGCTGGCATATATGATTCCTCTTCTCTATGAATGAAGCAGTTCTATGTAGAGAATATGAAAATACGAAATAGACACAAATTCATCAAACTTAGCAAAATGTCTTAGTAAAAAATGTTTAACAAAAACTTTTTTTTAAAAAAACATTAACTTTGTAATATGGATTCAGTATGGCGGAAATGTCACTGTTTATGAGAGAGACCTGAGAATCCAGCAGGAGCATATCAACTCCCATGAGCTCTTCTCCAAGGCAGACATTCCTGACCTCTCAGAAACAGAGTAACCGGATTTGAACAGTGGAGGAGGAGCGTCTGCAGATTGGATAAAAAGACCAAAACGTTAGCCATAGCTCATAGATTTAGTTATTGGTTAGTTTAGAACGAATGAGAGGATGATTCTCAAAGTAGTGTTAGCGATTGATCAAAGAGGTGTCATAATCATAATCTGACCAGACAATTGTAAAAGGTCGTCGTATATTAATTCAGAATGAGACTGCGATTGAGATGGAGGAATAAAGAAAAAAAAATGATTTCATGGAATGTTAATATTAAAAAAAATCGGAAACCATTAAAACACAAATAGAGATTTATATATGATCAAGAGCAGGTTTTCGAAGATGTTGAGGTAATTTTTAGACTGAAATATGGAGAAATTCAAACCTGAAAACACACCGCCGAAGAGTGCTTGTTGTTTCTTCTGACGCTGAAACCACAAACTCAATACTGAAAGTTCGTAGCAGTTGATCTATGAAACAAAAACTGCAACTAAAAAAAGAAATCTCACTTTTTATAGTCGAATCTCCAGTGATTTGGAAGATTGGGACTCTCATTGATTAGATATCGTGGGTGATGGATTAATGGAGGGTTGGAAGTTGATTATTCTGTAACTGGTATCCTTTCTTATCATGAAGAAGAAGATGAAAGAGCAATCTCAAAACTCAACTGCTGAGCTCGCATCTGATGAACCACGCTAACCCTACTAACAAAACACGGCGTTTCATCTAGACAAAACTGATATCTTATGGTATGGGCTGGATGAATAAAAGAAACGGCCCAAGAAAACTTAGAACCCATATAAATGGAAGAGCAAATTAAATGAAACGGGAGTGTTTTAAAAAAGAGAACACATGTCATCATCTCTTTGTCCTATTTTCTGACGTGGCAGCTGGAAAATGAGGGAAACTATTCTTTATATAATAAGATATTTCAATTTTAGAAAATGATTGCAGAAATCTGAAATATTGAAATAACAATCGTTAAAGTGCATGTGTTCTAATGTGCGACAACCCCCATTATACTAATAATTCTTTTACTATGATTGCAAATTAACATGTCAATAAAAATAATTTACAAAAAGTATTTCATCTACTTCCCGTGACTTAGTTTTGTCTGTAAAAAATAGGTCAATAAAATGGAACTATATAGAGATCCCTATGTAAACATAACTCTAATGGCCCCTTAATTAGGCCTTACGTGAGTTTATAATTTGTTTCATATATATATACAAAGTTATAATAGCATACCTTAAGGCTTAAGTAGTAAAGATCACCTATTCTTTTTTCAAATAATTTTGACTACATAAGTATTTCCCATTACTATGAACTGATTATCACTTCTCAAATTTGTGTTTCTGTAACTGCTTTCAGTTTTCATCGTGTTTGATATGTTATGTAGCACTACCACCGTACACGATCTCTTATTTTTACATTTCAGATCGGGTATGGAGGATTTTTGTAGTTTGGGTTCGCCTTAAGTTTTATGTTATGGATTTTATGATCAAGCCTATTTTAAATAAAGAGAAAAAACTATTATATAATGTTTTCCTCGAAAATTTATCTTGCGTTTTGAAATCGCGGGTCAAAATCTAGTCAATACTACTAAAACAAAAGCAGTTTTTATCTACTTGCAAGTGTCTATGTTAAACTATTACATTTATTTAATTTTATGTTACTTTACATATAACAAACTTACTATTATTAAGTAAACACATAATCTTAACTTACAATTTAAATATATTCAAAATAAGATGTCAAAAAGATATTCTTAACTATGTTTTTCAGATTGCATTTTAACAATATCTTCTAGTATCTTTTTATTTAAAATATAAATATTTATTCTTTATTATTATTTTAATAATAAAAATTGTAAATAATATTAAATTCAGTTACAAAATGAATATTAACTCATTTTGATTTATATAATGAATTTAACCCTTTATAATATTTATATATAAATATTCCATATTTTTAATTACCAATTACGCTAAATAATAATTATACAATAACTTAATCTATTTTTTGTAAATTATAAACTAAATGAATTATATTTACAGAATAACATATATTTATGTAATTTACGACATACTTCAATTTATTAAAAAAACACTAAAAAGATAATTAAAATAAGAAATAATTATATATTTTAATATCTATTATATTAAAAGAGAAGTGATGACTCACTTCATGTGTGATTTTTTTTAGTTTGGATCATCCTTATAAATTTTAGAAAATTTTACATAACATCATAATAATATCTTTTCATATCTTTAATTTTTATTTGAAATACAAATAAATAGTTTTAAGAAAATTCTAACAAAATCTTTTAAAAATCTTTTAGAATCTTTTCAAGATATAGTTTCAAAATTATTTGATTAAAATTTAATTATCATAAAATATAATTAAAATTTTAATTCATTTTTATTTATAAACTAAATTAAAATTATGTAAAATACATTTAAAAATATCTCAAAATTTTGTGTATGTATTATGTAGGTCCAACTTAATTTACTTTTTACATATATTTCAAATTTAGAAATAAAAAATAAATTAGTAATGTTACATAATAATTTTTTTAAAAATTGTTACAAAAATAAAAATTTATAAATTTTATATTAATTATATTATAAGCCACATAAATATTATTATAAAATTGGATAGTATACAGAATCAAATTATATTTATTTATTGATAAATTTTACTCTCTTCGTTTCTTAATATATGATATTTTCTATCATTTCATAAAGATTAAGAAATTTACATTATTTTACAAAAATATTTTTAAAGATATAATTTTAAAATCATTCACCAATTATTAAAATAACAGTATAAATTTATTGGTTGAACAATTTCCACTAAAGTTAAAAATAACCTTAAAACTTCAAAATATACCTTAAATTCAAAACATCTTATATTTTGAAACAAAATAAATCTTTTAAAACATCACCTAATTTGAAACGGATGGAATGTTATATAATTTCAAATATTTTCGTATTAATACTCACACGGTTGTGCAGGTCGAAATCTAAATTAAAATACAAGGATATGATTAATATATATAAAATACAATAGTTGTCAAAACAAAAAATATAAAATAAAATAATAAATTTAGTTGACATTAATATTGTTGGATTATATGTTATACTGAACTGTATATTATGATTTACAATTATAGTTTCTTGCAAATTATTTCATAAGAATCTATACAATAAAAATAGATTCATATTATGGCTTTTATTTTTTGAATAAAATTAAAATAAATATTAGGTGGGTTATATAAATGAATAATTATCTTATTTTTATAAAATTATATTTATACAAATTTAATTTAATTAATATACTTTTAAAAAGTTTCTTTATGAAATTACACACACACACACACACACACACACACACACACACATATATATATATATATATATAATTTATATTTTGGGTAAATCAAATTTTAAAAATTCTAGACCATCTAAAGTTGATGACCAATGAAAAGTTAGACTTAAGCATTCATGTATATGTCACGATACGGGTTGGGTATTTTGAATTTTAGTTTTAATTTATATCACATCTTAAGTCTCATTGTGTTAAATTGTAAAGAGTTTTAATATATTATATTGGTTTGGTTCTAATTTTATCACATTCGAAAACCATAAAGTAATCATATATCGTTAAAATACGGTTATATTGGTTTGGTCCGGATATTTCCAAAGTTTAATCCAAAATTTTAAAGCAAAACATAAAGAAATAAATACTTTATATAGAATCAAGATATTTAAGATACTTATTAAAATTTAATAACTTATTTCTAGATAGCACTCGAAAATAAATATAGAATTAGATATTCAAATCATATATTTTTGTTTCAAAAATATTTAGATTTGTGATTAATTTGAACATTAAGATCGATTTTTTGAAGTTTTACAGGTTTTTGTGTTATATGTTTGGGTTGGCTAATAAAACTTTAGATTTTGATTAGTTTTGTACCGCTACCGCCTTACAAGATCCCTTCTAGTAATTTTTTTTATATTTTAGACCAGGTATAGATAAGTTTTTGTAGTTTGGGTTCGATTTTAGACTTTGGGTAATAAATTTTATATTCAAGCGTATTTTAAATAAAGAGAAAAAACCATTATATAATGTTTTTACCGAAAATTCATTCTGTGCTTTGAAAGCTCGGAACAAAATCTAGTTCTATCATTAAAACCCTCCTAAAGATTTACTTGTTCTTCAAGTTAAATATGTGATCATTATTTTTTTTTTGTAGGTTAAATCATGACGTGTTGGTTTCATTTTTTTTCTCAAAAATATTAATAATAATAAAAATACATATAATTTTGAATAATTTGGCCAAAAATCTAAAAAAAATAATTTTTTTAAAAAAATCTAAAAATTACAATTTCAAACTTAAAACTTAAGAAATAATCCTCTATAATATTTATATATAAATATATTTTCATAAAATTATATTTATACAAATTTTAATTTAATTAATATATTTTCATAAAATTATATTTATACAAATTTTAATTTATATCACATCTTAAGTCTCATTGTGTTAAATTGTAAATACGGCTTGGAGTTTGGATATATTACATTGGTTTTGGTTTTAATTTCTATCACAGTTTATAAAATAATTATATAATGCATTAAGAAATTTTTAAGCACTGATGCAAGCAATTTCTAGTTGTATTATATGTTGCTTCTACAGCCTAGTTAAGCATTGGTGCTTACACTGTTTACGGATCCCACTAACGTATCACGATTAGTTTATTTTTTAATTCTTTTTTAATCTTAATCAGGAAAAAAGCACCCAGTTAGGTTATGAGTTAATGGTGCTTTAATGTTGGTATAGTTGTTGACGGGTTCTTATGCTCGGAAAAAACTTGTCTATTTATTTATTGGCTTTTGGTCCTTGTATTAATGTATTGTAAGATTACAAAATTATCAACGGCTCATACATTATGAGTAGATTAGTCGACGAACCCTAATTGGAGACAGATAATGTATGTGGTGGAATACTCCCCTTTACAAGGCTCACTGAAGAAGTAATGATAACGGGGATGCGCATCACGCGTACGTGTCCGTCGGTATCCCACCTACTCTTTGCTGATGATATCCTTTTCTTTTGTAAGGCGGAGCCCCGTGAATGTGAAGAAGTAATGAAAGTGGTAAGGAAATATGGACAAGCTTCTGGACAATGCATCAATTTTGATAAATCCTCCTTACTCTTTGGTAAGAGGAACAGTATTGAGGCAAGACAAGAGATTAAGGATACACTTGGGATCCAAAATGATGCAGGAATGGGCTCCTACCTTGGAATACCAGAGGATATTAGTGGATCGAAATGCAAGCTGTTTGCGTTCTTAAAAGATAAACTTAGGCACAGAGTGAATGGATGGACGGGTAGGTGGTTGTCTAGAGGGGGAAAGGA